AAGCAAAAACACGATGCTATCCCCCTAAAGAAGCGTTTAAAATTACTCAGCTCTTGCTGAAATCGATCTTCAAGAACTCCTTGATCACACAGTTTTTCGTATAATACAATGTCAGTGGACTGTAGTTGATAGTTTTTCGGACGAAAATATAATTTCAATGATTTTGATTACAAAATGGGGTTTTGATGGCAGTACAGGACATGGAGAATATAAACAAATATGTACCGAAGATTTTAGTGATTCACAAATACTGCTAACATCATTGGTGCCTATTCAGTTATTTGTGAATAAACCTGATTTAAACAAACAAATTATATGGCAAAATCCACGGCCATCGTCTACAAGATATTGTAGACCCATTCGTATTCAGTTTAAAAAAGAAACGACAGAATCAAGTTTAAATGAAATGAAATATATCGAAAATCAAATTAAAGAATTAAAACCAACAAAACTATCAATAAATAATTATAATATAGATATTGTGCATGATATGCAACTTACAATGATCGATGGGAAAGTTTGTAATGCGGTTACATCCACTACTTCAGCACAAAGATGTTATATTTGTAAGGCTACACCAATAGAAATGAACAAAATCGAAAAAGTTATAAATAAAGAGATAGACCCAACAACACTTCGTTTTGGCCTCTCAACTTTGCACGCTTGGATTAGATTTTTTGAATATTTTTTACATGTTTCTTATCGTCTAGATATAAAAAAGTGGCAAGTAAGAGGTGAAGACAAAGGCAAATTTTTATCTAGAAAAAAAATGATACAAGAAAAATTTAAAACCATTATGGGATTAAAAGTTGATTATGTTAGATCAGGTGGTGAAGGAACATCCAATGATGGGAACACTTCTCGACGATTTTTTGATGACCCTTCAATAGCAGCTGAAATAACTGGAATAAAGGAGAGCCTTATTATACGTTGTGCAACAATTCTCAAAGCTATGTCATCTGGTTATGAAATAAATAAAAAAATATTCAGTGAATACGCAATTGAAACTGCTAAATTGTTGGTAAAAGAATATCCTTGGTACTACATGCCAGCTTCTGTACATAAGATATTATTACATGGATCATCCGTCATTTCTGCTGCTTTACTTCCTATTGGCCAAATGTCTGAAGAAGCACAAGAAGCTCGCAATAAAGACCTTAAAAATATTCGAGAAAATTATACTAGAAAATGTTCTAGGATTAAAACAAATGTGGACCTGTTACATGGACTATTAGTGTCATCTGATCCGCTCATTTCTAGTCTCAGAAAATTACCCTCCAAAAAAATGTCATCATTTTCAACAGAAGTATTACAACTGCTGACTGCAATTGAACCAACATACGATTTGGCGGAAAATAGTTCAAGTGACGAAAATTAAAAAAAATTCAGTTACTATTGTATTTTGTATGTCTTAATATTAATAGTTTATAATTTATAATGTTGTTATGTCAAAGAGTAATTTTTAATTTTAACAAATTAATGAATATTTGTCTTGTTTATTATAAAAAATTAATCATTATTCAATAAGTTTCATTCTTCAATAAATAATAGGATTTAAAAAATATTTATTTCAAAATAATCCAATACAGGACCCAAACACTGTTAAGTTATAAATATTATTAAAATGAATAAAAATGTATATACAATGTAATAAACCACTTTAAATTTCAATTTGTGTATTTAAATAGCAAAAATAATTAAAAATTAAATTGTTTTATTGAGTATATAGTTTTGGCCAACTATTTTCATATTCTGGCCCACTGTACATCGGGGAGAATACCGAAATCATCGCGCCGCGCTCGAACACTATCGATAATATGCCCCATATATAAACAATGGGACCCCATGGATGTAAAGAATTAAAAGGGAATATCCTTACTCAACACAGCATACAAGATATTATCGAACTCTCTACAAAACCGATTAAGACCATACACCAATAACATCATAGGAGAATATCAGAGTGGTTTCGTGTTAGGCAGATCAACAAATCCGCGCCCTACTAATAACCATGTATAAAGTACTGTTACAGTAGATTCAATTATTTTAAAAACTAACAACAATTTAATTAATATATTTATATATATATATATATATATCGGAAATATAGTATCGCTAATTTACAGACAATAAATTCAAACGTGATATTACGGTTGAAAGTCAAACCAACCCGAAGATCGGTTCGATACGTACGGAAGCGTTGAAAAGTCAACTGTATACTTTCTTTATGATTTTGTTATAAAATATAATTTTAAAGAAATTGGATGGTTTAACTAATATCCCATTAAATTATTTTAGTTATTTAATTAAATTTAATGTTAATATTAATACATCGTGGATTAAATCGTTTCATAACAAGCGGTTTGCGATATCATATTATATTTATAAAATATTAAATTGATAGAATATATTATGTTAGAACATATCTTTATTAACAATTAATTACAATTTATTCTTAAATATATAACAACACAATGTTTTTGGTATTATTTTATAATGCGATACTAACTGAATAGTGATCTGAATTCAGATTTTTTGAGTTATATTTTAACTTATATTATTTATTTGCCGAAGCAGCATTCGTATTCTCAAATAATTTGATTAAACGTCTCACAGTACCATGTTTAAAATTAAGTTTTTCTTTTTCAATCAAGTTTAATCCTTCGCGGTCCCCACCACCAAGTTCTTTTCTTATATCAGATATTACCGACACATTGTTAACATTGTTATCGAAACTGTTGACAGGTTTTTTCATGATGGTGTTGTAATGATTAACCACCGCTGGTACTTGAAATTTTTTAACTTTTATGTCTTTATTGAATCGATTACTTTTCTTAGTATCCGCAGTCAACTTTTTCTGTAAAATCGATTATTGCCACGTTACAGATGTCATCTAATAACATTTCCTCCTCTTTTATTATAAAAAATTTTATGGAAAACATGATTAAATATGTGCATTATATAATATTGTAGGAGCGTACCCAGGATTTTTTTATGGGGGCCCAACATTTTTATTTTATTTGTTTTGTAAATATAATTATAGCTTAACTTAATTCTAACAAATTACTACTAATATACTATAGTATGGTTTATATATTTTAGGTAGGTATATTATACAGATAATCTATAAACATTGTATATAGAAGATAATGGAAAATTAAAATACACTATATACTATTATTATAATATTTTCAATTGAATATTTGAGTAGATATGTAGAAATTTCAATGGGAGGGTCCGGACTCAAAAAACCCCTCCCCCTTGTAATTTTGTTATTATTTGGTTTGTAGTATAGGTAAACTCACATTTTCAATATAATCAAATGTTCTATTCGATGTCTGTAATGGATTAATCAATTTAGACGTGCCTTCGGTATCATCAACATTCCATTGGACACCAACAGAACGTTTTAAGGGCACAGCAGAAAACTTTTGTCCTTCCGAATAACTCCATACTTCTCCTACTGTATATTCTGAGTCTGCTGATTTATACCTGATTTGAGTAGGTGACTTGCTGCTTTTAAATTTATCATTGACATTATTTTTTTTTTCTTTGACGTCCTTAGCTATGTTGCTGTCGCTTTGTATTTTAGTGGATTTACATGGGACTAAAAATAACAAGAAAAATAAGTTTATTAAGCACTTATAAATCTTATTATTCTACTTTAGTTATAATTTTTTTCTCGTCGTTAACACCAAATGTAAAATGTTTTAAACTAATTTTAGATTATGATTAATTTGAGGAATGTACTAATTTTTTTGAGTAGTTAATAATATTGATATATAAAATAAAATAATGTGAAACATCTACTATACGCAAAATTCGATGACAAAAGAACCTCAGGAAAAACATTATCTTCATAAACGACGAATTGTTGACAATATTTTTTTTTAGATTTTACGTACTGAAGATTTTCATTCCTTTGTATTTTAAACAAAGAGTTCCTGGTTGGAAATTAACTGGTACAGGAAATTTAGGACCATCTCCGGGAATACCAGGAACCCATGCTATGACATCCATGTTTTTGATACAGCGAGGGTGGTTTTCCATTTCAACTGTAAACATAAATAACAATAATAATTAATAAGTAAATATAATATTTACTAAAGGATAAATAATATAATACTATAAACTGACTTTTGGATATGTATTTCTTTTTTATTTATGTATTCACTAATACAGTGTGCAGTATATATTGTATACTAGATACTTATATTATATATTCATATAAAATAAGATTCTATTTGTAATTGAAATATTTCACAAAATATGAATAATTTCTACTGGAACGATCAAGATTAAGTAATTATTTATATTGATGTTTATAATATTTAGCGTAACTAAATTGTTTATAGAAAATAAATATTTTAGCCAGACTTGTTTATGTCTAAACCTTTTATCATTTTATCAATTGTCGACATTTTTTAAAATTGTGCTTGTTGTTATAGTTTTTTGTTAACTTAATTTTAAATTGTCAGAATATTAAGAAAATATATTTTTGTTATTCTTATGATTTATTTTCTTAAATACAATACTTCACGCCACTGGGGCATAGCCTCTACACTAGATATACCACTTGTGACATCAAACGTTATAAAGAAAACGCCGATTTAAATTATGACATAGTTTCATATTTATTTTAATTACAATTTACAAATTACAATAAGTACACCATTTTTATAATATAATACATTTTTTTTTATTAATATTAAAGTTATAAAAGGTCAAACAAATTAAATAATACATATGAATAAAATCTCAAATCAATATCCTTGATAGTTCTGTTACTCTTTTAGCAATAGTCAGTGGTTGAATTGGGGGGGGGACGCAGAGGGTCTGAGCTACTCTTCATTTTTCTTCATATTATAGCGTACCCCTTAATTTAATTCATCAAGGAACGCAGGGGACGCAGCGTCCTTCAACAATTATATGAATATGAATTTTTCTTAGAAAAATTAAATAAATATGAAAAAAAATTGGAAACGATTAATATTTTATTTAATTTTTGGTATTAGTTCGTAATCTGTTCATTATTATTAGCACATATGTATATTAGGAACGCCATCATAAAATATATAATAATGTTATATAATTTATGTAACACGTTTCAAGTGTTTCCACTGCGTATTAATTCGTGGTATAAACTGCTAAATTGCTAAAAATATAACTATTACGAAAACTTCCCTGGGTGTACCGACGATAACGATCCATAGTAAACCACTGACAATAATAATATATTGACTCCGTATTTTGAGAATCCGTCCGTTGTTTTAGTTATCGACGATTAACAAATGGTGATCGTTTTCAAGGAAAATTAAATATTATTTATATTTTATTTGGAAACGAGGTGCTCCACGAATGAGTAATCAGTATTATGTTAGCTTGTCGCGTACTCGCGTATGTAATTTATAAATTGTAATTTTGTTGAAAATAGTAAACACCTCAACCGCACTCCTACAGTCCTACACGTTACTTCAGCAATAAACATGAATAATCCCATGAATAAACGTCAAAAATTGTCCATATCGGACTTTTTCAATAAAAAGAAAAACAATGACCAAGGTAATTAAAACACTTTAATTTAATAATAAATCATAGGCGTGCGCAGATTCCTGTTACCGGTGTACTTTTATTTTTTTTTGATAATCCACCTTCATAAATCCCGCCTTAAAATAGATATACAAAACATAAGTAAGTAGAAATAAAATTTATTAGAAAAACTGATGTACAATCTGATTATCAATGAACGTCAGTCCCGGCAATTTTTATTTTTTTGTAATTTGATAAAATTGATAAAAAAAACTTGATTTTCCAAAAAAAGTTATTAGCCCTTTTTACTTAAGTACCTAGTACCTACCTAAAAAAAAAGTCTCGGGTACGGCTATAGCTCTACAAGCCATACCAGTACGCGCGCCTATGTATAATATATAATTTATGTGCGTGAAAAACAAATACTATCTATGATTTATTAATTAAATTACTAATATAATATTTAAAACTAGATAATAACAATCAATACAACCAACAAGATGTCGATGATCCAGATATCCCCAAGACTGCAGGTATGTGATAAAATTTTTATTTTTAAATAAATATTAAGATCAACATGATTTTTAAATGAAAGTTTAGAATCAAAATTAACTTCTAAGTCATTAATAATATTTATATGTGACAAATATAAGTTTTAGTGTAGTAGTTAATAAGTAATGGGGTTTTTTTTTTTAAAGAAAATGAATCAGTTGCACATTTATCAATATTTAATATCATACCTACTGTTGTTATTGCACCATATGAATAAATCATTTAAATCTTGGAGCTGTTAAACATCATTAAAACATTTAATTTTTCTTATAAAAATGTTGGTATCATCTGGTAGTAACAAATAATTCTTAATATTTTTAGCTAAGTCATTAATAAAGAAAGAATAATAGTGGTGAACCTAACTTGATGGACAGCTAATGATACATTTATTGACCGAGTTAAGATATTTTTATATTTTACAATTTGTTAAAAAAAAAAATTTAGCTATAACAAAAATGGATCATTATTACCATGTAATTTATTTTTAATGATTACCTGGTAACACAATTATGTAATTATACTGTGTACATTAGTATTTTTTTTTATTAATATTTGAATTATATATTATAATATATAATAATACATTATGGAAGTTTACCAAACATATTTTTTATTGTATTTTTATTTTTAATAATGTTGATTTTTATCATATTTAATATTATAATTATTAACTTAAATATAATAAGCCTGTATTTTTTTTTCAGTAAATAAAAAAGATACTACTGCTGTTAATGCCAGCAGTTTATGCCAACCAAATGAATTTTTAAGAGATGATGACACTCCTGAATGTTGGGACTTAAAACAAGCAAAATATTTCAGCGAAGAATATCCATGGCTGTATTTTAAAAACAAAAAGTTGGGTTGTAATATATGCCATGATTTAAATTTAAATCTTAATAAGAATCAAGGATCTCATGTGCATGTATCTTCCAACTGGATTCAATGTGACATTGTTCCATCTGGAAATAGTATATCCAAGCAACAAGCTAGTTTGAGAAAAAAGATCACCAAGCATAAGTGTAGTCAATCACATATCAGTGCAGAGAACACAATTAAACGCAGTAAACTAGAAATTATGGATAAACAAATTATAAAAAATAATAAATTAGAATATGAAAGTACAGAAAAAATATTTAGAACAGCTTACTTCATTGCCAAAAATCAACGTCCATTTCTAGATATGCCTAAATTAATAGACCTACAAGCTCTCAATGGAGTTAATATGGGTCGTGTTTTACAAACCAATAAATCTTGTGCTAATATTTTTAACCATATTGCTAATGAAATGAGGATTACAATTTCCAAGGATATTATTGAAAACAATAGAAAATTATGTATTGTAGTCGATGAGTCAACTACGTTGAGCAAAAGAACAATGTTAGTGATTTGCCTAAGATGTGCTAATGGTGATTCTCAAAACATTAATATTTTTTTTTTTGATATTATTGAGTTAAATTGTACTTCAGCTGAATCAATTAAAACTGCTATAATTAATAATTTGTCAAAACATGGAATCAAATTAGATTTTTTAAAACAACATTTAGTTGGATTTATTAGTGATGGAGCTTCTAACATGCTGGGAAGAAAAGCTGGAGTTGGTGTTTTACTACAAAACATTTTTCCTGAAATCATTATTTGGCACTGTTGTAATCATCGATTGGAACTTGCAGTAAGTGATACTATTAAAGAAGTGCAAGGTCTTAATCACTTCCAATGTTTTTTTGAAAAACTTTATTCTTTGTATCATCTATCTCCCAAAAATATGTCTGAACTTAATGCATGTGCTGCATCTTTAGAAAGCAGAATTTTAAGTATAGGTAAGATATTTACTATTCGGTGGGTAGCATCCAGCTTTAGAACAGTACGTGCAGTATGGAATAACTATGTTGCTCTCCATAAACATTTTCAGGAATCTTCCATTGATAATAAAAGAGATGGAAAAGAAAAGTCTAAATACTCAGGTCTAATTAATATGTTAACATCAAAGGACTTTGTGTTCAATTTAGGTATGTTATATGATGTATTAAATGAATTATCTGATTTGTCAACACAACTACAAAAAAGAGATTTAGGTTTGGCAAAAGCTCATACTATGATTGATCGAACAATTAGAATTTTGGATAGTATGATTGAAATACATGGACCCAAACTAATAGAAGTTAATTTAGCAATTGAAGAAATGGTTTTTAAAGGCATCCAACTTCATATCCACAAAAGCGTGCAAAAGATTAATTCCAGTCAGTTTTTCAGAAGTATTTCAAATAATCTAAAAAATCGATTATTTACTACTCAGTCATCACATGTTTCAAATGCATCATCTAACTTGTTTAAAGAAACTTATGATCAATTTTTAGCTGATTTAAATGTATTTGATTCAAATAGTTGGCCAGATAATTTTGATATTCAGTATGGTGATGTTAGCATTCGTCGCTTGTCACAAAAATTCAAAGTTGATGAAATTAGTGCTGTTAGAGGTTTTCGTGAATTTAAAGATACTCGGGATGAAAATTTAGAAGACCTCAAAAATTTGACCTCTGCGATTAAAACAATTGCAATATCTTCATCAGAATGCGAACGGGCCTTCAGTTCTATGAATGAGATAGTGTCTCCAAAAAGGAATACTTTAAGTTCTGAACATATTTCATCATTAATATTCATAAATGCTGTTGGTCCCCCAGTTGAAAAAATAAGTACAACAAAATGGATTGAATCTTGGATAAAAAAGGAAATAGACTTGCAACTGAAGAAAACTGTCCTAAAAGAATAAAAATAACCGAAGAAAATTCTTATGAATCACTATGGAATCTAATAAAAAATTAAAAATGTTTGTTTATTTGTTTTTTATAATTTGTAAATAATAATTTTAATAAATACAGCTAAAAGTTCTTTAAATTTTTTTTGGTCATTTTAATTTTTTTGGTCATACATTATAAAGCAATTCATATACATACCTATGATAAAAATAATTATTATTTAACTCTCAGCAAATCTTAGTCCTAAAAATAATGTGATGGGATGAAATAAATTATTTGACTAATATTAAACTTCAAATATTAAAATTAATATTGACAAAAAAACATTAATATACTAATAAAAGAGTAACATTTATAATCTATAAATTTAATATTTACTTTTTGTAGGCAACAGTAAAATACATGAATTATTTTAAATTGAAAGTTAATTGATTAATTAATTTTATCATGTGGCTATATATTTACATTTTAGATTTTAAATTTGCTAGACGTGTTGCTGTGTTGATAGAATTAATACAAATAAATACCTATTAGTATTGTTTATTATTTGTAATAGATATCTGTGTTAATCATTAGATATATTTAATTATTTATATTGTAGATGCATTTAGGGGGTGGCGGGGACAAAGTCCCCCACGGTTTTTTTTTAGATTAATTTGCTTTGGAACGCTAATTTTTCAGCTACATTTAGAGTCCACCTTTATTTTTTTTTCCAATTCAACCACTGGCAATAGTATTTACAACAATATTATCTTTATCAATGTTTATCATTAATAGAGCTTCCATAATATCTTTAGAAATTAATGATCTTAATTTAGTTTTTATATTTTTAACTCTGGAAAATATACGTACACGTGTAACTTGTGTACAAAGTAACGTCAAAATAAATGTTTATGCTAAGTATATAGTAACAAAAGAGCCGGATTGTTGAACAATTTGGTACAAAATATTAAAAGAAGAATTTCAAACAACAGGATTAAAACAAGGTAACGCACTATCACCAATACTATTTAACATAGTACTAGAGATGAGAGTAAGGGAAGTACAAGAAGAATATCAAGGAATTAATTGGGGCCGAAACCTTCCATTACTAGCATATGCTGACGACGTGGTAATATTAGGCGAAAGTGAGCAAGATATTAAAAGAGCAACTGCAATACTGATACGAAGTGCAAAAAAAATGGGGTCTCAACATTAACGAGACTAAAATAAAATACATGCAAATCGGTAGGAACAAAGATCAGAGATGAAATGCAGCTGAACTACAGATCGGAGGATATATATTTGAGGGGGTAGAGGATTTTAAATATTTAGGCGCTAATTTAAGTATTACAAATGACAACCACGAAGAAATAAAAAAAACGTATGACATCAGGCAAAAAAATGTTTTTACGCCCTCTCAGGGTTATTGGGGTCAAAGCTACTATAAAAAAAAAATCAAAAGAACGATTTTTTTACATGGTACTAGACCAATGATAATGTATGCATGTGAGACATGACCCACGACCCAAGAAGATGAAAATAGACTAGCTATCATGGAGAGGAAATTCCTTAGGAAGATTTACGGACTAAAAGAAACGAAGACCAAACATACGAAATAAGGTCTAACAGAAAACTGCAGGAGTTAGTCGGAAAACTAGACATAATACGCTACAGAAGACTGAGATGGCCTGGAGGAGTAGGGTGAAAAGGAGAGTTCTAGGCCACCCGCCACCCACCACACCCGCCAGCCACCGCCGCCGCCGCCCACCCGCCGCCGCCGGTCCAGCCGCCGTATTTTTATCACAGCCGCCCGATCGTTCACGTAACCTATGTATATTTTAACCCCTCCATGTTTTTTCATTGGAAAATTGTAAAGTCATATTCTTCATCACCCCTCCTACTACTTCCCCTTATTTAATTTTTTTTTTTTTCCATCATTTGCATACCTATAATACATCCTCTTTACTCCATCCGTATATTTTACATCAACTCTCCTTTTACTTCCCCTCATATATTATTTGAAATGTTATCACGAGGTATAAATTGATAAGAGATTATATCACCGATATTTTATCGACATACCTCTCTCTAACCGAAAATGTTATCACAGGGAATAAATTGATAAGATTTATTTGATTTTAGCGGATTTATATTGTAAGACTTAATTATTTTTAAAATTATTGTAAATAGTCGAAACATCTGTCAGGTATGTATATTATAAGTATGAGTCATTGTAACGTTCGGAAAAACGCACGAAAAAAGAAGAAACACTAATGATTAAGAAAATTGTGTGTTTTTTTTTTATTATAAGAATTATGCTCGGAGAGCTTTAATGACACGAATAATATATTTGTGCTCGGAGAGCTTATACGAATAACGAATAGGTCGCGTCGACGGGAATAAAGACCTCGAACGAACGATATTTCAGTCGGTGCAATGCCGGAATTACTCTGACTATTGCCCCATAAACCGATGGTTATGCTGATCGATGCAATGCCAGAATAACTCCGACTATTACACCACTGACCAACATAAATATATCGTTCGTCGAGGTCGGGGGGATACTGTCTTCCATTGTGTAAGTTGTGTAAGTCTGCCTGGGAAGGTCTTACTACAACACCGGAGAGACAGTAAATGGTGACTTTCCATCACGCCATCGTGCCTTTTATAGGTAGGTGCACCGATAACGGCGTCCGTTGGCGCGATGGATTTAGCCTGGTGACGACAATCCGAAATTCGGTGACAATTAAAAATAAAAATAATACATTATTTAACTACGTAACATGTGCGAACAAACTCGATATCTCATTTAAATAATAATAATAATATGAATAGTAATCTTAATAAGATAAGATACCGAGCGTCCGCACATGTTACGTAATTATTGCATAAACAGTCATAGTTGTATAAAGGTGTGTTATAATATATTTCATAAGGGTGTACAAAGAGAATATCATTCACATACCACATGTATAACCATAAAAATGTTGGATGAATAGATTTATGTGTAAACATACCATTAGGATTA